AAAACAGAGGTCACACGTGACCCACCACAAGGTTATATGAAGAGGCACAATGTAAAGTCATATGAAAATTATTAGAGATTTATCTACAAGTAGGGATTTCACCCCACAGCTGTGGAGAAGCGATTCCTGGCCAGACAGAACGCTGTCTCCTTGCTCATCTGGGGATGATGGGTGCTATTAGGAGAGGCACCTTCTTCATAGCCCGATATGACATTGATTTACTGTAATTTAGATGGAATGTGGGGATGTGACTTTCTGCTTCTTGGCTCATGGCAGCTTCTCACCTAATATGGCTGCAGAGAAAGGCCTCAGACCTTACATATGGGGACTGAGGGGGTAGGGGTGGGTACTGTGCAGTGGGCTCTGGGTATGGAGCTGAGTGTGGGCACCGGGCTCTTGGCATGGGGGCTGGGGTGGACACTGGGCTCTGGTAGGAGGCTGTGGTGGGCACTGGGTAGGGAGCTGTGGTGGGCACCAGGCATTGGGCTCTGGGGGTAGGTACCAGGCACTGGGCTCTGGGTAGGGGGCTGTGGTGGGCACCAGGCAGTGGGCTCTGGGTAGAGGCCTAGGGGTGGCATTGGGTAGGGGGCTGGGATGGGCAGTGGGCTCTGGGGGTGGGCACTGGGCAGTAGGCTGGGTGGGCATTGGGCAGTGGGCTCTGTAGAGGGCTGAGGTGGGATCTGGGGGTGGGTACCAGGCACTGGGCTCTAGGTAGAGGCCTAGGGGTCGGCAGTGGGCTCTGGGAGTGGGGTGGGCAGTGGGCTCTGTAGAGGGCTGAGGTGGGCTCTAGGGATGGGTACCAGGCACTGGGCTCTGGGTAGAGGCCTAGGGGTCGGCAGTGGGCTCTGGGGGTGGGGTGGGCAGTGGGCTCTGTAGAGGGCTGAGGTGGGCTCTGGGGGTGGGCACCGGGCAGTGGGCATTAGGTGCCAGGCACTCTAATCAGGGGACTGGACTTTAAGCCCCAGTCCTTCCCTGCTGGCGCTGTGCCCCCAGCCAGCTCTAACCGCGCCCCTCTGCCTGCCCCTCCCCGTGCAGGTGCCAGACAGATCCGTGTGAGGAGTGCGAGCACCACGGCCGGTCGCACCCCATTGGCGACCGCTGGCGATCGGGACAGTGTCAGGTGTGCCAATGCCTGCCCAACCTGACGGTGCAGTGCTCCCAGTACTGCCCCTACAGCACCGTGGGGTGCCCAGAGGTGAGCCCGGCACCCAGCCCTGCGCTCTGAGGCCCAGTCACCCGGGGGTGCAGCCCCGGCTGCTGGGAGCTGGTGTTGCTGGAGAAGGGCTGCGGGCACGGTTGGCTGGGGGGGGGCAGGGCGAGGTTTGGGGGTTCATGGGGACTTGAGGGGTCTGAGCGTGACCCTCCCACAGCGTCTCCAGCTCAGGGCTGGTTGGAGCCCCAGCGAGGGGCTGTGACAGAGCCAGGCTGCCCTGCGGCGTGGGCACTGGGCTGGCACCCCAGAGAGCTCCGAGGCTCAGGCTGGTTCCAACGTCTCCCCACAGGGGCGGGAGCTGGTGGAGGGCAGGGGTGAGGCCTGCTGCTACTGCGCTGAAGCGGGTGAGTCCTGCGCTGGGGGGAGCCGGGTGGGGTCGCAGGGCCCGTGGCTCCATGGCGTTGGGGGGGCGAGGGGGCAATGCTGCTGTGCTTGGGCCATGGTGCTGGGAGGAGTCCAGGGGCGGGTTGCGGGGCTCCATGGTGCTGGGGGGGTCCGGGGTGGGAGGGGTTGCAGGGCCCGTGAATCCATGGCGCTGGGGGGCAGGAGGGGAGGGACTCTCACAACACATGCCCCAGCCAGTCCCGGCGCCCCCCGTCCATCCCGACCTGGCACCCCCCCACCCCCCGCCATGCTGATGCCCCTCAGACCTGACCTGCAGCCCCCCAGTAGCCGGTGCTGATCCGGGCGGAGCGTGGGCTGTCCCCAGCGTGGGGCTGCCCATGGGGCGGGTTCTGCAGCCCCCCACCC